GCGATTTTCTCCCGAGAGAAAAAAATCGCCTGCGAGCTCGTACGACAGCAAAAATCGCACCGTGTACGCCCACCTTGAGTCTAAGCCCTGTCTGTGAAACCAGGCCTTAGACAGATATTTTGTCATCTAGCATCATATTTAAAGCTGCAAGAAGGGTCAAACATTCCATACTTTGTTCAGTTAAATAAGTGCATCACTCAGTATTTCAAGTGCACTTCTTTTTGTTGGAATTTCCAGTGTGAACACACTACTCACACTATATATAATACAAAACGGCATACGGGCATAGCATAGTACATTAGTAGGCTGAATAATGACTAATAGATTACCCAAAATGTCTAATTAATTCCTGTATATTCCCATTAGGATTCCAACTTCAAAGAATTTTAAAATTCCACAGCTTAACTTCCCATGTAAAGTTTCTGCCCCTTTGTAACCCTATTAACAATCAGCATCATTTTCTTCCGAAAATTAAAAAGTCTCTTTTTGTGCAATTCTCTTTACATTTCACAGATATTACACACTTCGCATAAATAAAGGAGCAGCTGCGTTTGTGTGTGGGAAGAGTTGATTGATGACGCACATTTCATTAACAAGCAAGTCATGTTCTTTACCACAAGTCAAAAGTTTTCTTTCTTTTTTTGTTTTCCAATTGTTTGGTGCCCACATTTTTGTCACAAAAATAAATTCACACGGCTACCAATATAATGACACAATGAGCGATTTTTATGAGTGTGTGTTTGTGTGTTTAAATCTGTTTTGCAGAGGTAAAAGAGATTCTCACAAGCACATGGCTTCTGCATACACTTCTGCTAATTCACACTTAATCAAAGAGCCGAGAATCTAGTTCAGCAGACTAAGCTCTACTACTGCTTATCTGAACGCATCTGCTTTTATGTTGTCCATATTTGCATAATTTTAGCACCTTCTAATGAAACCAATATAACAGTGACAGTGACGTGACATGTGGCCAAGTATGGTGACCCATACTTGGAATTAGTGCTCTGCATTTATCCCATCCAAAGTGCACACACACAGCAGTGAACACACACCCGGAGCAGTGGGCAGCCATTTTTTGCTGCGGCGCCCGGGGAGCAGTTGGGGGTTCGGTGCCTTGCTCAAGGGCACCTCAGTCGTGGTATTGAAGGTGGAAGAGAGCGCTGTACATTCACTCCCCCCACCTACAATCCCTGCCGGTACGAGACTCAAACCCGCAACCTTTGGGCCACGACTTCCCCCATAATGTCAACTTAATTTAATTCAAAATACAATATTTCAGCTTTCTTTGCAAAATGACAATGCATTCAATACTAATGCATTCAAAATGCTGATTATACTAATGTTACACTCCTAAAATGCCAATTTTCATCTGCCAGCCATTAAATGTTCTGGACGCTGATATTGAAACTCAGTATCAGTGCTGGTGCCCTAGTTAATTAAAGTTAATAATGAAAATGATAATTCAGCAGTTCCTATTCGTCTTGCTCTTATTCTGAACCTCTGCTTCATTTCTCCTCGCCTCTCCAAAAAAGACACCAGCAAAAAACTCCCTTCACATACTAAATCATTAATTTCAGATAGTCTGAAATATAAAAACCAAACGCAGCTTACCTTTTCCATAGCTGAAGTGGAGTTTGATGGATTTGCCCTGGTTGATGTGCAGGTACGTAAACCACACGGCGAAAGTAAGCAGCACCAGCAGCAGCAGAAGTTTGAACTGCTTTCGTATTTTCTTCACAGGGAATCGCAGCATTTTAGCAGCTGCAGCATCATCAGCAGCAAAAAAGAGAGTGTCAGCTGCTCCTCAGTCTGGCGCTTCAGAGAATGAGTCCTGATGTCACAATGTCATATTTGCAGCAGCATCATGCTCGGTTTGCCGCATGTAAACTCCCGGTATCACAATCTCATATCCGCAGCAGCAGCCGAATGAAAGTGTCAGTTGCTTCTCAGTTCGCCGCGCTTAAATTTGTAGCATCATGCTGTCATATTTCTCCAAACAGCAGCAGAATCTGTCTTGTTTTGCTAAAAGTTAAGACTCATGTCACAAAGTCATATTTACAGTTTGTCAGCTGCTTCTCGGTTTGGCACGTTTCACAAAAAGATGTTGCAATATCACATTACAGCAGCAGAAAAAAGTCAGCTGCTTCTCGCTTTAAAGACAATGCCATTTCCTCAATGGGTTCCTGACTATTCTAACTATAGTTTACTTGAGTCTTATTGAAGCATCATTCATGATTTACAAGCCATGTCAAGCCTATTGGTGGCTTCAGATGGACTTCATTTAAGTCCCATTTAGCACAAACAAAGGTTTAAAAACAGGTAGCGATGGAGAATAGTCCAGTTAAGGATATGATTGTAGGTGGTGCAGGGAAAGAAAAGAGCAGGGGGCTGTTAATCTTGTGAAAGCCGCTCTGACAGCAGTCCAGCCACTCCAGACAGGATCATCCTCTGGATTTAAAGCTTTCGCTCAAATGACCAGTCTAACTTTTGACCACTACGTTTTCGCATTTAATTAACAATAAACAACACAATCTAACTGCAGAACCTCAATTATGAAGCTGCTCCTTCCTGGGATGAGGCGCAAAGTGCATTTTAGATGTGTTGATATTTTAAACAACCATGTTAGCAATAAAACCACTCAATTCACAAATGGCATATTTAGCAAGCAGCCACGTCATACCATAACGTGTCCATATTATGCATTGTAAAAAATGTTCACATATTTGTTTTCATTCATTTAACTTAATTTTCTACTCATTTTGTGTGAGCAATTCGCTTTAAAGTGGTCAAAAAAGTGCAATGAACTTATAAGTGACTTTGGCACCACTTTGAATTCAATTTAAAATTTAAAGAAGCAATTAGAGCGAGTTGTTTTTTACAGCATATCTAGAGAGAATTAAACTGTATAATGAACAAAAACATCTTAAATAAACATAAGACACTTTAGATTTAATTAATTACATATGTATTTCGAGTGGCTGCACTGATTCAGTATGCAACAGTACATTTGAACATCACGCGGCTGGTGCCTTATCGCACTGCAATGGGGGAAAAAGCAATGCAATCACATAAATGTTGATTTATCCTCATATATTATGAAAACACTAATAACCTCGAGTGAAGAATCACAGTGCTCTTGCGGTTTGTAGGTGATGCGTTCATGCACCTGCTATCCATCCAAGTCCTCGCGCAACTTACTCGCTCGTTCGTTCAAAGATTTGAAATCGGACGTTTGCATAAAAACAATAACAATGCTCTATTGGCGTCCGTACGCTCCGGTACCGTTAGCTGCATCTGACATTTTGATTCCACTATGCGCTCTGCAAAACAAACGCTTTGTTTCACCGATGTGATGCGATGCGTCGGTCTCTGCGCGCGGGTGTTGTCACGCCTTTAGTCTGATAAACTATTTCGCAACGAGTCTCATAAATCCCACTAGCTCCGCTTCCAGACCTACGACGTGACCGACTCTCGATCCCCGCGTTCAACTGAGCATCCATGAAGCTGCCGCGGAGCGACATTACGAATCCTACTGTGGTACCGGCTGAGCTAATGAATTATTAAATAGGTCAAGTTGACGTTACGTTGAGCTCCGCGCGCTAGGTTAATTAATATTCATGAGCCAGGGATTATCAATAGAAGACCAGTCAGGCTTACTGGCCGAACGTCGCTGTTACGTGATTAATATTCATAAGCTCGGCCGTCACCATAGTAGGTTTGGGATATTCGCTGCCGGGCAACCGAACTTCGGTGGAGCCGTTATGGGCAGGAACGGCGTCCAACCACCGGCGGAGCTCCAGCGCAATAGATTATCATTGGAAGAGCTCCCGTGACGAAACGCATATATTAACGTTTCATAGTTTGCTGCGATTAATGATCTCACCTTGTTGATTTGACGTTTCCATCATTTGACAGACGTTTATGATGTTTATGATGTCCTCAAGTGTATGATTAATGTCTCATGCATGGTATGAAGTGCTATTTAGAAAGGTTCTTTATAAATTATTATAAAAGATGAACTCACTTTCTATTTAATTCGTTGATTTTTGACTTATTTAGGAAAGTGCTTTTTTTTTTTAAATTAACAATAAATTTATCATTTTAAAATAATAATTTGACATTTATTAATGTAATTAATATAATGTTTGTTCATCTGAAACGTGCATTTTTAAATTAATTAATAAATAATTTAAATGTAAAAGATGTAGCCTAATAATAATAATAAAAAAATTTAAATGAAATTTTAATATTTGACTTACATATTTTTTGTGTATGTATGCATATGTATATATATATATATATATATATAGTATATGTGCGTTTTAAATACAAAATAGTAAATAAAAAAAATCAGTCAAATAAATATTTTGAATTTAGTATGATAATAGACACAATAATAGAACAGAATAAAAAATATGTATTAAATTATCCTTTATTGTTCATTTGTTTCTTTGTTAAAGAAAATGTGTGAGACCACAAACAAAATTCAAGAATCTATCTACAAGATCAGAATAGGCTCTGCTAGATGATTTGTATACGCAACATAATTCAGTTGCGTTCAACATTAGATACATGTTATACACGTCGCTAATGAAAAGTCTGGAAAAGGTTCCCTTCAGATGGACAGCTGGATTTGTCATATTATGGGGTAATTTAAAGTTCACAGCCTTTCTAAACTCCTATTTCACATTTTAATAGTCTGCATATTGCCTAACTTTGATCATTCACAGAATAAGCACAAGACTCATCAAATCTGTGAATAATTATGCCCGGTTTCTAATATGCATGAAGCTATAAGCCCGTGCAGAGCTTATATGGTGAAATATTAGTGGTTTTCCAGGCAGTTTGCGGAGCTGTCAGAGGTGACAGTAATTTCTTTCCCAATGTCTTTTTCATCCTCTCTCCCTGAGAGACACGGTCATGTGCGGTGAGTTTGAGCATAATTACTTCCAAGATGCAAACAAACCAGAAAGGACTGGAGAAAGTGAGGAAATCTCATTGACAATGTTAAAGAAACAGTTCACCCCAAAATTAAAAATTACTTGCCCTCAGGCCATCCAAGACGTCTATGGGTTTGTTTGTTTGTGGGAACAGATTTGGAGAAATTAAGCATTAAGTCACTTGCTCACCAATGGATCCTCTGCAGTGAATGGGTGCCGTCAGAATGAGAGTCCAAACAGCTGATAAAACTATAATCCACATAGCGATATACACTATCAAGGTACATGAAAATTGCCTTATTATAGTGCCACCTAGTGCGAGACGGATGTGTGTCTGAGTAGCGGGGCACCTTTGGCACCATAAAGCCAAGTTTGGGGTCTCTGTGATTTATGGTCTCTGACGCCCAGATGCTTGTAGGGCAGAAAAGAAGAAAACGAAGGTGCTTGCATCCCTAGAAAAGGAAATGGGTTAAATGGTGGAGTTCAGAGCAAAGATGCATTCAGGTTCAGTGATTTTTTTTTAGAAATAAGATGTAGACTGAATTGTAAAAGCTTCTTGTTGTTGCCCTCCATTGAATAAAACATACAGAATGACAAAACAATTGCACCTTTTTTTTAACGTGTGAAATTCCTGTCCAAAAGCACAAATAGAGCAAAGCATTCCTTAGCCATTTAGAACTGCACAAGAAAAATAAAACAGGTGAAAAAGTCGAGGCATGGACTCCACTAGACCCCTGAAGGTTCAAGTGTTTATCGTGTTGTATGTATATGTCTCTGTGAGTAATTCTTCTGCCTTTGATCTTCAGCTTTTTTGTCAGAGCTTATAAATCTTTCATTGGCTGCTGTAGTTTGAGGCATTGAGCACAGATTGTGTGTGTGTGTGTGTGTGTGTGTGTGTACCTACTTAGCCATATTTTGGGGACAAATTTGTACCCAAAAGTGAGCTAAACCTAACAAAATCTCCAAAAACCTCCCTTTGGGGACGTCCTCATTTGTAAAACTGGTATAAAAATAAAGTAAACAAAGTTTTTTTCAAATTGTAAAAATGCAGAAAGTTTCCTGTAAGGGGTAGGTTTAGGTGTAGGGTTGGTGTAGGGCGATAGAATATACAGTTTGCACAGTATAAAAACGTACTCGGTTACTAATGTAACCTCGGTTCCCTGAGATACGGGAACGAGTACTGCGTCTTGCTTAAGACGCATA